GAGGTAAGCGTTCTAACGTTTCTACGTTTTCAATAGCAGCATGGTTCTAGGGTTTTATAAAATTTTTGTTTTACTTCCGCTGCACAACCCTAGAATCGATCTCTTAGGAATTAGATTCGCTCATGAGATCCCAGGAAACCCAACAGTGTTCTTGGTATACGGTGGGTCGGAAGACGAGCTCGCTGTAAAAGGTTACACCGATGCTAGTTTCCAGTCAGACCCGGATGGCTACAGATCGCAGTCTGGCTATGTTTTCTGCTTAAACGGAGGCGCTATTAGCTGGAAGAGTTCCAAGCAGGCAACCGTTGCAGATTCTACTACAGAAGCTGAGTATATTACATCGTCGGACGCGGCAAAGGAAGCTGTTTGGATCAGGAAGTTTGTTGGTGACTTGGGTGTGATTCCTAGTGCAGATAGCCCCATTGCTCTGTATTGTGACAACAATGGAGCGATCGCACAAGCGAAAGAACCCAGATCCCATCAACGATCCAAACACATACTCAGACGATTTCACCTTATCAGGGAGATCATAGACAGATGAGACGTGCACATTTGCAGAGTGTCGACAGATGACAACATTTTCGATCCGTTGACGAAGCCTCTCCCTTCGTCGAAGCATGAGGGTCATGTTAGGGATATGGGCATTAGATGTTTAGCAGTTCATGATTACAACAAGTGGGAGATTGTTGGTTTACTGCTCTATGATGTACTGTTTATGAGCTTTATTCAGATACATTTGATGTATTGATACTTTCCACAGGTTTTATGAGAGTATTTGATTCATTACATGTTCTTGTATACTAGATGTGTTATGAAATCCATGTATCATTATGAATGATACTAAACTCCCTAGTCTTGTGTCATTATGGGAATGATGACATAAGAAGACTAGTATGATGTGTGATTGATGATCATAAAGATGATCATATGTCTCAGATTCAGATCCTTCTGAGATATCACGTAGGTCAAGCTCTTATGGTCCCCGTACAGATACGATCTCCAGATCCTCAACGCGTGAACTACCGCTGCTAACTCCATGTCATGAGTCGGGTAGTTCTCCTCATGCTTCTTCAGCTGCCTTGACGCGTAAGCGATCACGTGTCCCTCCTGCATTAACACGCAACCGAGTCCGTATTTGGACGCGTCAGTGTATACCTCATAGAGCATACCCGGTCGTGGCAATGCCAGGATCGGTGCTGATGTCAACCTCTGCTTCAACTCTGTTGGGTTCCCTTCGGGTTTCTAGCATGCGATCTCATCGATCTAGGGTTTGGATTCTAGGTTTCACGCAGTGGAAGGAAAGATCTAAACCTAGCCAAACGTCACACAAAAACCAATTGTGCAATAACCCGAACAATCGTGTATATCGTCGTGGGATTCGAATACTTACCTCGTTCTTTCAAGATCTGGAAGTATCAATCGATCCAGGGCCTGTTTTAATCACCGAGAGTTGAAAGCACAACTCCTCTACACGTATCCACACCGGCGGGATGAATTCCAACGCTTTGGAACGTATCTGCTAGGATTCGTGAAGAGAAAAACCGATGTCCTTGACTTGGAATTGATATTCCAATCACTAGAACTCAAAATCAAGCTTCTCTAAGCTCTCATCTGAATCTGGGACGTATGAGGTTCATCTTTTAGGGTTTGTGGCGGCTCTCTTCTTAATTAAGATTGTCCAAAACCCTTAAAACGCGAAATAGGAAATCTGCCCGAATATCGGACCGTCCGGTCTAGGTCTTGGACCGGACGGTCTGGCTTTCAACGCAGAACGGACAGTCCGTAACTACTCATAGAACGGACGGTCTGTACGTCTGGACCGGACGGTCTGGTGCTTGCGGAACGGTCCGTCCGTTCTCCACTGGAACGGACGTTCCGGAACGGCTGGACCGTCCGGTCCAGGTCTGGACCGGACGGTCTGGCCATCTGGAACTCTTCCAGATCGCTCCGTCGCTCTTTTCTCGCGTTGTTCTCTTCACGTGTGATCCATCCCTAATGGTGTGTGACCCTGTAGGCCCATTCGAAGTGGCAGTGGCTTCGGAAACATTTCCCGAACCACAAGTCATGGTTAGCCTCTAACAAGACGCCATGACTACCCACCTAGAATAAAGTTAGAGGTGATCTAACAAAGCCAGCAATAGTTCAAGTTCTGATCCTTTGTCTCACGATGTCATATGTTGAACAAGGGCATGGTATGAGCCACCCTTCAAGTTCAACCGCTTACTCGTCTAGGCAAACCGACTGATAAAATAGATGTACATTCATCTATAGCGTGGCCACGCATTTTCACAGTCCGATTTCCACGAGGGGCCCAGCGACATCTCTCCTGCGTAGGAGGTGACAAGTCCCGTATTGCATGTCTACTATCTGCATATGATTCGTGAACGTATCTGAGCAACACCGTTATGATCATCCGGTTAAAGACGACGTTTGACGCAGTCAAGACACGTCACTCCTCATATCAGATACTCTAGACATCTCAGGTCTGAGGATCCAAGAACGAACCGATGTATGAGATTCAAGTCATGACTTTGTCCATGTGACAATCTCATGCGGGTCATCCAGTAACTCGTTCCAAACGAGAACCCATGATTGTGATTTGCATCTAATGCATATGATCATAATCATCTATCACACATCATGCTGGTCTTAATTCATCATTGTTCCCACAATGATAACTGACCAGGAAATTTAGAATCATCTGCAATGATTCAAGGATATTTACCGTAATATAACAAACATGCTAATCATATAACGGGAAAAGTAATGCATTCATAAATCAATGAATCAATACAAAGTCAAAATGTCATATCACGGATCATCCTAGAGCATCACAACCAACAATCTCCCACTATGCTCTATGATCTATCCTACAAGCATCTAATCCCCATACCCACAACATGACCATCATGCTTTGACGAAGGGAGAGGCTTCGTCAACGGGTCGGCAATATTATCATCTGTCGACACTCTACTTATTTTCACGTCTCCTCTGTCGATGATTTCCCTAATCAAGTGAAATCGCCTAAGTATGTGTTTGGATCTCTGGTGTGACCGGGGTTCCTTTGCCTGTGCGATCGCACCATTGTTGTCACAGTACAACTCAATGGGATCTGCAACGCTAGGAATGACCCCCAGGTCTCCCACAAATTTCCTGATCACACCTCGTGTGAGCGAGACTGTAGAAATGTGTGGCCGCACTATAGACGAACGTCGTCTATTTCAGACAGTCGAACTCAGTGAACGAGAAAACAATCGAATCAGATAAGGTGGCTTGTCCATGCCTTATATTCGACATATGATATCGTGATACAAAAGGATCATCAACCGGAATCATCACTGGCGTTCGTAAGGTCACGAACAAACTCTATTCGAGATAGGTAGTCATAGTGTCTTGCTAGAGACCGCCTATGACTTGTATATCCGGAATAGAGATTTCGGGTTATACTGCTATATCGAATGAGCCTACAGGGTCACACACGCAGGGAAGGACAAATGCACGAGAAAACGTCGAGGAATCTGGACAAGAGGTCTGGACCGTTTGGTCTAGGAGTGGACCGAACGGACCGGAGTATCTAGTCCGAACAGACCAAATTGTTGGACCGAACGGACTAGATAGTCCAGTCCGAACGGACCAAGTGTTGGACCGAACGGACTGACCCATCGGACCGAACGGACCTAGTTATATGACTGGTTCGAACGGACCAAGTGTCCAGACCGAACGGACTACTAAGCAGTCCGTTCGGTCTGGGTTTCAGATTTAATTTAAAATCCGGAATTAGGGTTAATCACTTGAATAAGAGGAGATTAATAACCCTAACACTAAGGAGCCGAAAAAGACAACTTCTTCAGACCTTTTTGGAGAGTCTAGAGGGTTGAAGAAGTGATCTAAATCTTGTTTTTCTCAAAGCACATCATCGACTAGAAGATTCGAGTCCTAGCAGACAAGTTCCAAAGGTTGGAATCCATCCCGAGGTGTGGATACGTATAGAGGGCAAGGTATTCTTCCTGCCTACAGTGATCGGACGGACCTATCAATTGATACAGGCCCCGGATCGATTGAGGTAAGTGTTCTATCGTTTCTACAAGATCATGCATGATAGGTTTTAGTGTTTTATCAAAATTTTTGTTTTTCATCCGCTGCGCAAACCCTAGAACTGATCTCTTAGGAATAGGATTCGTTTATGAGATCCCAGGAAAACCCAACAGATCTATCTTAGAGAACCATTTTGCACCTTGCAACTGGTCCAACAGTTCATCGATTCTTGTAAGGGATATCGGTTCTTAATGGTCACTTGGTGCAACCCCCGATAATCGATGCATAACTGTAAACTTTCGTCCTTCTTCCTGACGAAAAGTATCGGTGCTCCCCAGGATGATACAATTGGTTATGAACCCTTTATCCATTAAATCATTTAGCTGCTTTTTCAGCTCGACCATTTCTGTTGCGGCCATATGATAGGGAGTCTTTGATACAGGTTCAGTCCCTGACATCACCTCGATAGAGAATTCCACTTCCCTATCAGCTGGCCATCCTGGCAATTCCTGAGGAAATATGTCCTTAAATTCCCGGATTATAGGGGTATCTTCAACCCTTTTCCTTGGAACTCTTAGTCGTCGTTATTACGACCAAGAAAGCTTCGTTCCCTTTGGCAATCCTTTCCGTGCTCGCATCGCTGAGATCATGGTAATTCCTTGTTGTGCCCTTGCACCTATGAACTCGTAGTTTCCTTGCTCATCACTGAACCTTACAGATCGCCGGCAACAATCGATCTGAGCCTTGTAACGGGTAAGCCAGTCCATTCCAAGGATCGCTTCATAGCCGCTCATCGATATATCGATGAAATCTGCAGCTATCGTCCTTTCCCCAATCCTTATGGGTACACTGCTCAACTTTCCGTGTATTGATAAGAGTTCTCCGGCCAGTGTATGCACCGTTGTTGTTGTTGAGGGGTCTTGTTCCCTCAACAAGCCGGTTTTCTCTGCTGTTATTAAACTAAGGATGCTCTGTATTGCTCCCGTGTCAAAGAGGGTAAAACATTCTATATGGTCATTTATTCGCAGTATACCTGCGAAGGTAACGAGTAAGGAACTATGTGAATAGTTCCCGCTAGTTTTTGCGGACTCAATCTAATCTACTACAGTTACCTGTGATGGCAGCCGGGTCATGCTCCTTCTGTTCCTCCTCTGCCATCTCCTCGTAGTCCTCATTTTCCTCACTGAGGTATTCTTCCTCTTCCTCTTCTGGCTCGACCTCGGCCATGGTCTCCTCATTTGCGGTGGAAATGTCCTTATTGCCGATCGCTTTCCTTTATCGCGATCTTGACTAGTCTGTCCAACCAGTGTGGTTTGCTTCCCACTAGGGAATTTACAGTATGGGCTCCTGTCGCGCACCCGCAGTTCCCTCTCCTCTTTCTCGCTACGCTCAACCTTTTCCAGTTGGCTGACGTAACGGCTTAGGGTTGGATATTCATGCATCTCAATCCTATGACGTAGAGCCAATCGTAGTCAAGCTACGAATTTCTCAATATAGAGAGATTCCGTTGGCACCAGATGTGCTCCATAGACCATCAGTCGCGTGAATTCCGCTTCGTATTCACGGCAGTCAGATTGCCTTGACGAAGATTGACAAATTCCTCGCAGAACTCATCCCAGGTGAATCGGTGCCCAGTTGGCCTGTCTCTAACTACTTCTTCCCACCAATAACACGCTTGGCCGAACAAATGATGGCTAGCGATTTTCGCAAGGTGTTGCAGAGGGCAGCACACATATTTCATATCTTGTGATATGCGCACCAACCAATCCTCCGAAACTTCGAGGATTAGTTACCCCTCGAATCTAGGTGTATGCATGGAGCGAAGCTCCCTTATAATCGTCAGATAATCGACTTCCATAGCCAGTCCTTGCCGTGCTAGTAGTGGTGGCAGGTCTTCCCTGACCTGTTGTTGCGGCTCAGGTATTCCTTCCTGGCGACGAGGCGCATTTTCTTGCATGAAATGCTGCATCGCGTCTCGAAATTCGCGAATCTTATTGCCCAGTTCATTAACCTCTTGTTGCACCTGATGTGCTTGGGTCGGTTCATCGGCCTGATCTGTTAGTTGTAATGCTCTAGGATGATCTGTGATATGACATTTTGACTTTGTATTGATTCATTGGTTTATGAATGCATTAGTCTTCCTGTTATATGATTGGCATGTTTGTTATATTTCGGTATTCTTGAATCATTAGAGAATGATTCTAAACTCCGTGGTCAGTTATCGTTGTGGGAACAATGATGAATTAAGACTAGCATGAGGTGTGATCGATGCATTGGATGCAGATCACAATCATGGGTATTCGTTGTGAACGAGTGACTGGATGACCCGCATGAGATTGTCACATGGACAGAGTCCTGACTTGAATCTCATACATCGGTTCGTACTTGGATCCTCATACCTGAGATGTCTAGAGTATCTGATATGAAGAGTGGCGTGTCTTGACTGCGTCAAACGTCGTCTTTAACCGGATGATTATAACGGCGTTGATTAGATACGTAGACATGCAATATGGGACTTGTCACCTTCTTAACAGGAGAGATATCGTTGGGCCCTCTCGTGGAATTCGGACTATGAAAAATACGTGGCCACGTTATAGATGAAGTTGCATCTATTTTATTACTTGATTTGCCAAGACGAAAAAGCGGCTGAACTTGAAGGGTGGCTCAAACCATGCCCTTGTTCAACTTATGATATCGTAAGACAAAGGATCAGAATTTGAGCTATTAATGCCTTGGTTAGATCACCTCTAACTCAATTCTAAGTGGGTGGTCATGGCGTATTGCTAGAGACTAACCATGACTTGTGGTTCGAGAAAGGTTCTGAAGTCACTACCACTTAGAATGGGCCTACAGGGTCACACACACTAGGGATGGACTTATACGTGAAGAATCCGAAGAATGGAAACGAGATTTGACCAAAACGAGCATGAAAAGGAGTTTTCAGTGTGTTGGTCCGGATCTGACCAAGTTTGGTCAGCCCCAGACCAAGTTTGGTCAGTCCAGGTGGTCCGGATGTTCGGTCCGAGGTCATCTGTCCAGGTCTGGTCCGGCTGACCAAGAGTTGGTCAGCTCCTGACCAGACGCTGGGACAGGCGGACCGAGGAACAGGTGAGTCGGACTGAGCTGACGAAGAAGGAACTTGGTCTGGAGCTGACCAAAACTTGGTCAGCCGGACCAAGCCTTCAAGTCAGGCGGTCCAAGAGTTCGGACTAAGCTTGATCCGTTGGTCCGACGGACCGGGATCTGGGATTTTCTAAAAATTCGGATTTATGGTTTTCTAAGCTTATTTAAGTTTGAGATTTCGTCCAAACGTAATTAAGGCCGCCCTAAAACTCAGAGAGACATCTAAGAACCCTAGAGAATTCATTCTTTTCGTTTTTGAGCTTCTCGGGATTAGATTCGGTCTCTCGAGTTACCTTTTTCTTCACGAATCCTAGCAGATACGTTCCAAATCATTTGGAATCCTTCCTGTCGGTGTGGATACATGTAGAGGGACTGTAACTTCAGTGCTAGGTGATCAAGAACAGGCCCGGATCGGTAGTTTTTTCAAGTTTCATCAAGAACGAGGTAAGTAACGATTCCCTCGGTGATATACACGATCGTTTTGGGTTTTGCCAAGTGTGGTTGTGTGTGACGGTTGTCTAGGTTTAGATCTTTCTTCCCCTGCATGAAACCTAATAAACCAAACCCTAGATCGATATGATCGCATGCTAGGAACCCATAAATTTCCCAACATGGTCTGGGCCTACATGTGCTCGACGAGGTTGTATCCTCACTGCACATACCAGGATAGAGCCTCAGCATTTAGTTTGACATTTTAAGGACGTACTATTGCAACGTCCTATCCTAATCACCATGTACGTAACTACTACTAGACTCGGTGGAGACTCTTCTGGGAATATGACTCAAAAACGTTTGAAAATGGTTTTTAAAAATAGAACGGTCGTTTTCTTCTCGTGGAAAGAACGTCACTCTGATACCAGCGTCAGTGGTGCCCGAAACCCGTGTCCCAATCACGAGTTGCGCCACATGGTCGAGAAACCATGTTACCAAAATTCTCGGGATATTTTTTTTCTTTTTAAACATACGGAGTTCATTCAAATACATCAAGAGGCGAGCATGCAACGAAAAAATATTTTCTATACCCGAGGGATTGTGCAGAACAAAGTGTGCAACATTATCATAGACGGCGGGAGTTGTACTTATGTGGCAAGCACATTATTGGTCGAGAAGGTTAAGGTGAAAACAACGAGTCATCCAAAGCCTTACAAGCTTCAGTTGCTCAATAAGAGCGGTGAGACCAAGGTAAGGAGGCAGGTTCAGATACATACCTTTTTGGTATATTCGCCCCACAACTTAGACCCGAGCCATCGATTTCCAATGCACTCATGTCCTCGAATGATTTTCATTAACGAGCTAATGACAGCGGAGTGTTTGGGCTTTCTTCTATGCTATGGGCTTACTAAACTTAGAGATAGAAGAGTGGTTCTTGGGGAGACGTTTGCACTTGGTTCGTAGCTTCTAATCCGCCTAGACCTTAGGAGGTAAATCATCCCACATAACATTCGCTTGCTTTAAGTCTAGATTGGCTATTTCTGCTTCACACAACAATCCATTCAACTACTAAGGGGATCCCAAGTCCGGTTTCTCAAACCTTTTAAAACAGCCTCGCTCTACTCCCCCCACATCATCGTTTGACCAACCTCTTATGCAAATGAATGTATGCATGCCTCTACCTATATGAACTTATGCAATGTGCAACCTAATTATACAAATGCACGTAAACCTATTCGAATCTATGATGAAAGATGCATACATTTTTTTTTTATGAAAATGCAATTATATAATGCTCACAAGGCTCAAAACTTTGTTAGTGTGTCCCCCCCAGACTTGATTCGGGCACCGTCCCCAGTGTCGATTCGATGTCAAACGGATGAAGAAAAGGTGAAAAACGGAAGGGTTTTAGATGTGGAACCTGATAGGAGTATAGAGCCCATCCATAGAGAGCTTCTCATCCTTTGAGCGTCTTGTAAGAGCCCTATGAAATGCAAAAAAGAAAAATACAAATGCAATACTAGGGGTGTAGTGTTAGCGCAAATGAGAATCGGAAAGGGAGAGATGCTTTGTCAATTGGTGGAACACAGAATAAATGGGAGGGACGCCCTAGAATGAGGGAGGTCGTCCGTTTTTGACAGATTTTTTTTTTTGAAATCGACGGAACTCAAAAATGGGCGACCGCTTAGATAAAACAGGCGGTCCGCCTATTTTTTCTGCATTATAGCCCAGGCCAAAATCGAACGTGTCCTGATGGACAAATTCGATCCATGAAAATCATAAAAGTGAGGAACGTTCTCTCGTCTATCACTCATCCTCCTGATCAGCCATCTCGGAGTCGGTAGCATTTGCGGCGTCATCATCTGCTTCATCGTTTTCACAATCATTCTCATTTTGGGCGTCTAGCATTTCTCGGATTTCTTGCAGCATGCTCCGCTGAGAGAGTTCAATGGAGTCCAGGAGGTTGGTCTCAATGCTGGAGAGTTGCTCTTGAATATATTCCTCGAGTGATGCCATTTTAGTGCCCAGGTTCTCTGTTTGGGTCGTGAGAGCCTCCATACGTCGTAGGATGGTGTCCATCCTGGGATCATTGAACCCGGATCCACCTAACCTCCTTGCGGTTGGTTTGGTTGTATGTTAAGATACCCCAGGCGCAAGATTTCTGCACTAAATGGTGAAATCCTCGTACAAGGGAGGCGCACTTGTTGCTTCAGTCCGTCTGATCCGATGAATGCCCAATAATGGCCAGTCTTGCTGAGGTGCAACCTCTGCTTCAGTGTTGCAGTGTTCAACTTAGCTTCCCACTCTCCCTCTTCGGGTGCATATAGAGTCATTCCGACGTCTACTCTCCTTGCAATCTTTGTCAGCATCCCACCGATATGCATGGTAATTCTCTTTGCAGTCGTCCTTGACATGATACCGAGATAATAGGTGAACCTTGCCGCGAGATCAAGGTCAGACCATCCCTTCCTTGCACACTTTTCTAAGCTCTTTCCATCGTGGAATTCCAATAGTGCTTCATGAAGATAAGCGAGTTCCAACTTGTGTACCTTTCCCGGTTCATCTCGTGCAAGGATGGTACTTGCGATGACTTGATGTGCGTAGCGAATGACCGGATGTTGTATGTTGGAGGCCCAAGATTTTGCACTTGTGAAGTCACCCACGACAATCTT